CATAAGGATTCGAACCAATGTAAGAGTATGAAATATTAATGACATGTTTCAGAGGAAATCTGTCTGTAGGTTTTTCATAGCCGCAATCCAAGTTAGATTGGGCAAGAAATGAGATTATTTAGGCAAAAAAGGGGGGACGTACTAAATTGAGACACAATTTTAAAAGCATCTCCTTTCAAGAGGCTTTTAGACGGTAATGTTTCCAAGAAATACAGTGTTTTATGCCACAGAGAATAAAGTTGCATTGTGTATACTAAATGGTCATTTTCAAGAGCATGACAAATAAAAACATATAAATTTATATCTCAGAAAGAAAGTATCTTCTTTCATGTCAGATCATCTGCGCAGAAGCCCTCCGTGCAGGCAAAGGCAAAGACAGGGTCTGCAGATGAACAGATATGAAGAAGCAATTAGAGGAGGAAGGAAGGAAAAGTTTGGATGCTGGGTCCTGACCCAGAAGCAACATGGAGTAGGTCTCGGATTTGCTTTTTCTCATGTCCGGTGCTGGGTCAATTACTTTATAGTGAGGAAAGATGTGAAACGCCATTGTTGGAATGCCACCAAAATACTTCTTTCCCATTTAGCATCATTACAAAGCTTCTAGAACAAAACAGTAACAATTTTCAACCTTGAACCATTCTCTAGCTGTTGTTATGTCTCCGTCAGGCAGGCAGCGTTGGTGAGTAATATGGGATTTTTTGGGAGTGTTTCTTTACGTGTGTCCAGGGAATAAAGAACTAGATATGAGTTGGGCATTTCTGCTCCTTTTATTTCTGTGGAACATTCTTTGGGATCAATTTTGAATAATCACTGGGCATTATTGGATTTCTGTTGCTATTTTTTGCATATTCTTATGATTGTTCACCAGGGAACATTTTATAACATTCATATTAAATTTTTATTTCTTAATTTCTTGCCTCATTACTCCCATTTGTGTTGGCTTCAGCCTAAGTATTACTTTCTCTTCCTTGTGGTTCATACGCTAATCATTGACTGTTGATGTTCTATTTATTTCTCTCTGCTCCCTTTGTTTTTGACCAAGTTATATAGTTATCTGGTTTTCAGGTGATACTTTCTTATAGTTACCCAAGAATGCATGCTAGAGAAATGTTGCCCGTAACTGCTTAAACATGAAAGAGGAGACTTTTCTTGTTTTCCAACTATGTTAGTCTGTTTCTGAAAGATCCTTTATTATAAGTAGAATAAAATCTACTGGACTTGCAATCCACATGCCCTTTTAAATTAAAAGCATTCCCAGACTTGCAAATTTTACATTCCTTCGCATGATCTCTTCTTTGTAAAGACAGAAAAGGGGACAGAAAATTCTGATTGGTCATTTCTTGAGCTAGCAGAAGCTATAATATTCCTGTTCTCCATCCTTTATAATTACTTTCTCTTAAATACTAAACTACACCCCCCCGCCCACCGAGCATCTAGAAGGATTAAACGCTGATCAAAGGCAGTTTTAGCTGTATCCTCAAGACAAGCTGATTCAATGAAGAAAAGCTCAGGCTCTGGGAGAGCTTTTGGAAAGAGAAATAAATTAACAATCAGCATTTAACAGCAGTAAAAATGGCTGAGTAGAAGCAGAATGATGTTTTGGGGGATTTGAGATATTCAGAGTGATGAAATGAATAGGAAAAACTGTGTCCCAGTTAGGAGGACAGAGTGAAAAAGTGTGAGATGTGGTCTTCTAGTTCATTCCACTGGTGATATAGAGCTTTTCCTGGACAGATTTTTGTCTTTTTAAAGTAATTATTACCCATGTTATAATTTCATGTGTGTTGCTTTTAGGTAACCTCAGAATTATAATCATGGCTCGAGTCAATTTTGGATTCCTTTTTTTGAGACAGAGTTTCGCTCTTGTTACCCAGGTTGGAGTGCAATGGCAAGATCTTGGCTCACCACAACCTCCGCCTCTTGGGTTCAAGCAATTCTCCTGCCTCAGCCTCCTGAGTAGCTGGGACTACAGGCGCGTGCCACCATGCCCAGCTAATTTTTTTTGTATTTTTTGTAGAGATGGAGTTTCACCTTGTTGGCCAGGATGGTCTCAATCTCTTGACCTCGTGATCCACCCACCTTGTCCTCCCAAAGTGCTGGGATTATAGGTGTGAGCCACTGTGCCTGGCCAATTTTGGTTCCTAAAGTTCTCATTGCAGTTGAGTACTAGCAGTACCACTCTTCTTGCATGAACTCCATTCTCTCTTGACCAGCTCTGTTAATGGGTGTCCTTATGTATGAAACTGATTTCCTTACTAATATGGCAGGATTCTGTCTGGTTAGGATATTCCCTGAAATGCCCAAGGGTGTATTGTGCATAAAAGCAAGGCTGGCCAGAGAGGTTTGATTTATGTATTTATTTTTAATTTTTTTTTGGTACCCAGGATAATAAATATGTTTCTCTAGTTTTGGATAATGATATAAAATTGTAGCTGTACTGACAAAATTAAAGAAGACATTAACGATTCAGATTGAAATATAAAATTCAAGTCTTTAGCAAGTACACATAGGATTGTGGTTTTGCCCAAGGTGTCTAATTAATTACTACAAATTTTCAATTCCCTGTGTTCAATAAAAACATGTCTGTGAAATGCTATTCATAAAAGCAGAGCTCACTGGTCATTAAACCTGCAAATATCCATGAATAAATACACAATTCTCTCTTGCTTGCAGGAAATGCTATCGGTAGACTAAATAACCAGGGGATTCTTTTCTACACTAAGAATTCACTTTCCTACAGTTTGATCTTAAAATATTACAGTTGGTCAGGGCCTCATGAGTTTTGGCACAATCTCTACATTGTTAATGGGTATATGAAGTTCAAGATGATGTCCACAAAATGACACTGCTATTGGAAACCTTCTGCATTCTTCCTGTCCAACCAAAAGCATAATGGATATGTGAATAGTACCTGTTTTGTACATTTTTCTTCACGTAAACTGTGGTAGGTATTAGGGAATAATTCTTTTCATGGTCTGAAGTATTTAAAGTGTACCGTATATTATTCTAAATGCAAGGCCAATACTCCATTCTATCAGAGAAAAGAAAAAGGCTATCTGTGGAAAACTATTTAAAAGATTAAAGGAGCTCTGACTGAAATGTGGTTTGGTGGCCAGGAAAGGGAAACCACCATCCCCTAGTACAGTTTTAAGGCTATATCTGGGAAAACCAACAAAATGCGTCATGTGTGGATAAGTCATGATGCTGAAACCATTAGCAAGGTTTTTTTTTTTTGTTGTTGTTGTTGTTGTTGTTGTTGTTGTTGTTGTTTTTAAACAGCATTTCTTGTGCTAGTTTCCCAGTGCCAAGAATGGCTTCTTTATTTAGTCTTGAACTTCAGCACCTATCACAGTACTTGATGCTTCCTTGGTACTCAATAAATGTTTGTTGAGTGAATGTCTTTTTTACACTTTTGTATCCAGCTATCACTTCTGAGTGATTTTGTAATTTTAGTCAGCTGATGAGTTCTTTATACCCGTGTAATTTTCCGTATGCCATGTGTGTTTTATTTCTCATCATATCAGCTTTTTTTTTCCTTCTTTGAACTTTGTAGTTCCCTGAATTGCTTAGTATTGTTTATATATGACTAAAGGTCTTATTAGATACCATCTTATCTAACTGAAAATTTAGTCCAGTGAAAGGTAAAAAATGAGTTTGTTAGATTTCAAAATCAGTCCTAACTAAAAACCATTCCTCCTGCCAGATGTTATAACTCACATTGTTACAATTTATGGCTTAATGAAACATTTATTTTTCAGAACAACTTGGATTTCAATGAGCAGATTTCTTAAAATAAGAACATTCTATTTTTCATTATAGTATTAAGAATGCTGGAACAAATATTTTTTCTATTTATATACATGAGTTCAATTGAATTATTTTATTGGGTATTTGCAAGATGTCCTGGAATATCTCAAAAGTTATATGTAAATTATACATACACATATATACATATAATTCCTGGCATTGGGCAGTCAGCATAAGGAATACTGTAAAAAAAATCCTTGCTAATGGTTTCGGCATCATGATATATATATATATATATATATATACACATATATATATGTATATGTATAATTATATATAGCTATATATGTAAATAACTATGTTACATATATATTATCAATGTACTTATATTTTATATATAAATTATATATAAATTACTATAAGTATAACTATATACATACACACACAGATATATATATATATATATATATATATATATATATATATATATTGTTGTGGAAAGAGTCATTTTTAGTGAATTAAGACTTCATGAAAAGGCCAGGTATAGGGCTCATCATGCCTATAGTCTTAGCATTTTGAGAGGCTAGAGGTTCACTTCAGACTAGTAGTTCAAGACCAGCCTGGACAACACAGCAGGATCCCATCTTTAAATAAAAAAGAGCTCACAGTAACTAATATTTGATATGTATGATATATAATTTTAAGCAATATTATATGACATAACCTTTCTCACAGTCTAGGTTGCTATTTACCTTTTTGGTTCAATAATTAAACAAATTCACAAGTAAGTAAGCCAATCAACATTTTATGTATGGAGCTTTCTAAATCCTTCATGTGGCTTTGGTAGTATTTTAATTAAAAGCCCTTGAATTCTGTCCTGGGTGCTGGCCCATTATCTAGTGATTTACACAGTTAAAACAGGAGGACACCAAACACAGGCCTGGCTGCATTTGCAGATGGCACAGACACCAGATCAAGAAAGTTTTTGAAGATCTGGAACAACCATGAAATGAAATAAACAAGAAACTCAAGATTTCTTGAATACCTCCTCTATACCAGGCATTTTATGTCTCAATTCTTTGAGAAAACCTATGACATGAAGTTATTTTTTTCTAGATGGCAAAACTGAAAATAAAATACCTTAAATTAATTTCTCAAGCTCATGGGTTTGAAAATATTGTGACTAGAAAAAAATTTAAGTCTTCCTTATTCTAGAGCCTAGCTTCTTACATTAAAATAAACAAATAAATAAGCACAATTAGTTTAGGAAAGATTTGTTTTGATAGAAATCCATGCAAAGCAGGTCAGGGAATTTCAGCTGACCATAGATTCAATGGGGAATATCAGCTGCTGAGAGAAATGTACAATGCAACTAATTTCGTTATACTTAGTGCTAGTCAGGCTTAATAAAGGGTATGATACTTTGGCACCTCATTGGATTCGCAAACAAAAAGGCGTTCCGAGCAAGAAAACATGAAGGCAAAGATTCTGAACTTGGTCATGGGGATGAGAGCTAACTGAAGAATGCTCAAGTAAGAAATGACTATAGTGATGGCAGGGGGTGGATGAGGGATACAACATATACTGAATGGTGACTTTTTTTTTTTTTTTAATTGCAACGGTGTCTAGCTCTATTGCCCAGGCCAGAGTGCGGTGGTGCAATCATAGCTCACTGCAATCTTGAACTCCTGGGCTCCAGTGACCCTCCCACCTCAGCCTCCCAAGTAGCTGGGACTGCAGGTGCGTGCCACCATGCCCCACTCATTTATATATGTATATTTATTTTAAGTAGAGACAAGCTTTCACTATGTTGCCCAGGATGGTCTTGAACTCCTGGGCTCAGGTCATCCTCTCGCCTTGGCTTTCCAAAGTGCTGGAATTACAAGTATGAGCCACCATGCCTGCCCTGGTGGTGTTTTTAGAGGAGGAATTAGTTGTGATCAGTACAGATTTAATGGGAAGAAATGGAATCCATGCTTAGAAACCAAAAGGCCCACTGTTATTCAATAAAAGGAAGTTCTTTAGAACACTGAACCTAAAAGAGTTAATGAGGCATGAGACATTCGGGTTTGCATATTTAGTTTAGACCTATGCGGTACTATTTTTAGAAGTTTCGTTGTTTTAAATATTTTATATAGCAAATTTTAATAATGGGATGCTCCACTTCACTTGTAAGTACTTGCATATGGAGGTGTTTTTTCCCCAGGATGAGGGGAGATAAGTAGTGAATCATCTATATTATTTCTATCACTGTTTAATGCAGAAAATATTTATTAAGTATGAAGAGTGTGGATGTATTTGATGACTATAGAACTAAGGAATTCTCAAAGAAACAAAGAGAGAAGTCTAAGTTCAGGTGTGGAGGTCCTTGCCTAATTTGCCCCTTCACTTTTCCCCAGAAATAATTTGACCAGAGATTGTGTCACTATTGTTGAATTAAAGCAGACAGGATCAGCCCTGTAAGAAGAGCCATCTAGTAAAGGAAATGACTCTGTGAAAATTTTACATCTGGTAACTGACATGGGAGGTGTTTACCTTCTTTTGAAAAGCAGATTTTAAAAATTGAATTAAATCTACATACAGACTTTTACACTCATTTTCAGAGAAGCAAGAATTCTATCATCATAATCACCAAATATCAATTAATCAGAGAAATAGGCTTGCAGAAAGAGAAAATAATGAGTTCCTTTAGACAAATGATGTTGACACAGAGATTCCAGGTATGTCTGGTCATATACCATGCATTCTGGATAAGATAGAGAGGCTTGTGACTTGTATCATTATTACCTGGCTGTATAGCAGCAGGAGCAGAGAAAATGTACACTATATTTAGAGATTAATTAGGAGAGGATGTCCAAAAGAACCAGGGATGCATGAGCAGGTAGATTTGGTCAGGCATATTTATACTAAATCAGCCATTGGATTGGGGGCTGGGTGGAGGGAATAAAGCCAGAAAACCATTGGGTCATCTTCCCTAATAAAAGAGAATATCTACGGAGTTATAGGTAGAATTGCCTAATATTTCACCTAGTAGCTTTGTTCAATCCTTAGAACCTAAGCTTTCTTGTATCAGTGTAAAGAGTATGTGTGTGTATTTGTGTGTGTATAGTCATATGTATGTGTATTATATGCATATGTGCATATGCATGTGTAGAATGAATAAAGAAAAGATCCCTGGGCCGGACACGGTGGCTCACGCCTGTAATCCCAGCACTTTGGTAGGCCGAGGCGGGTGGATCACGAGGTCAAGAGATCGAGACCATCCTGGTCAACATGGTGAAACCCCGTCTCTACTAAAGATACAAAAAATTAGCTGGGCATGGTGGCGCATTCCTGTAATCCCAGCTACTCAGGAGGCTGAGGCAGGAGAATTGCTTGAACCCAGGAGGCGGAGGTTGCGGTGAGCCGAGATCGCGCCATTGCACTCCAGCCTGGGTAACAAGAGCGAAACTCCGTCTCAAAAAAAAAAAAAAGAAAAAAGAAAAAAAAAAGAAAAGATCCCTGAAGAATCTCCAAGAAATTGTCAGAGGTCCTTGTCCTTTAAAAGCTCCAGTTGCCCTTCTTGTCCAAACACATCAGTGCACTGTGAATTCTGAATTATTCATGGACACATAAGGTCTGTATTTGTATACATTTATCTCAGACTATTTATTTCTATAATCTCTGCCCCATTCCCTGGCCCTCCTTTGTCTTTCTCTTTTCCTGATTTTGTTTTTCTTCTGGTACTTTGAAAAAGAAACATTAGAATAAGCTGTTTTATTGCTTCCTTCTTTCCTTTAACATATGGCATTTGCTTAACCTCTTGGAGTGCTGTGGTTTTCTGACCCTGGAGTTCTGATGGGAAAGTTAATGAGAAGTGTTTATCTAACACATCAAGGCCAGCAAGCTAAGACATTGTACCATGCTAGCATTGACAAGGTAACAGAGAGCCCACACTTGACTCATGGCCACACATGTTGGCCACTCCTGATGCTATATCCCACTTTACTCTTGCTGGAGGACTGGTGTTGGTGCTTACTGTTTTTGAGGCATAATCTTGGTAGATTCTAAATATCCTAGCAAACAGTGGTAGAGAAGTCAAGCGTCTATAATTGTGTATAAACAGAAAAGACTTACACGTTTCAGCAACTTGCTAATCTTCACGCTCATTTAGTTCCCTAGTGGTTATTTTTAATTTGTCTTGTTTTTAGAGGTACTCTGTTAGCAGATAGTCTAAGAATTTTTGCCCTAGGTGAAAGCGTGTGTGTGTGTGTGTGTGTGTGTGTGTGTGCGCGCGCGTGCACGCACACATACACATGCTTTTTCAAGAAGGTCTTCTTCTTTTCTTGTCAAGACTGCAACTGTCAACTATTCCCCAAAGCTGTTGCCTAGAATCAGCATGCAGTGCTGTAGGCAACCTGTCACTTAGATGTGGCACCTTGCATATGTGCTACAGTTCACTCTCTGACTTGCCTGTGTGCGCAGTGCCATCTTGTCCCTTAGAAGACAGGGCCATCGTGAGATACAGTTTCTGTTTGAGATGTATTGTAGCTCTTCTTCCTCCAAAAGGAAAGAAAAAAGCTACTCTTGCTGGAACGGTAGAGAGAAGGGTCTGCGGGTACCCTCCACCATTGTGGTTTTAATGTCTAAATCTTCTGGAGAGGATTGCTGCAGCGATGAGATAAAAGCAGCTGCCTTTCCAAGCACTGTCCATTTGCATTGATATTTACATTCTTTGCCAAAGTGACATCATTACCATTTGCCTAGTATTTGCACCACAGGGATATGTTTTACATAATTTAAGACTTAGAAGTGATGATAATGCATTTCAGATGGGCAGTAGAGGCCACAGGGTGCTGAATCTTATCCCCTTTCTCCTTAAGGACCTCAGTGCATAACTGAGTCCCTCGTCCATATCTCTAAATCATATTAACAGTACTGCTTACTGGGTGCCAACAATTTGTCTGGTACTGGACTAGATACGTCTGTATATATTGTTTAGCCCCCATGACAACAATATAAGGGCAGGCACCATTTTCTCCGTTATATAGTAAAGAAGCAGGGCTAGAAAAATTGGTAACAGGTCTGAATTCAGACACATCTCACCACAAGGACTCTTCTCTTTGTGCTGTGTCATTCCATCTTCCATCTTGTGGCCTACTTGTTTCTTCAGATTAAAGAAACAGAAAAACCTGTATTTTCTCAGGACAAGACACTTGAAATAACAAGAAAGAATATGGTGGGACTCTGACCTTGGTCCATTTCTGTCTCTTTCATTCTCATCTTTACTCTAGGTGCCCAGAAGCTCTTCTTTGAAATAAATTTGAAAGATCTATGTTTGCTTTGAGAGAAAGCTACATAACATTGTCATAAGCCAGATTATCAAACTCTCCCAGATGCCACTTAATTACCAAATATATGTTTTAGTTTTATATACGGACAGAGGTTTTAAAAAGACAAAGGACAAAATTAATTGTGTTTAATGTCCTGTATGGGTATAATACCTTTCGCTTTGTTTACAAACTGGTCCTCTCTCTGATTGTACCTGCTCCTGATGCCCCACCCCAATGCCCTCCATCAGCATAAAAATGTGAAACCTCTTTTTCAAAAACCAATTTTAAAAAAAGTGCTTAGTCTCTCATCTTGAGATGGAGAATTCTAAGCAAATTTTCCTTGCTTTTCTCCTAACCTTCCTTGTTCCCAGCTTTTTCCCCGTCCCCCACCCTTCCTTCTTCTTTCTTTCACATCGTGTGCCCCAGAATGACAGCTCAGGGAAAGTAGGCGTTATGAGCTGAGTAGCCTTTTCCTTGATATCCCTCGAAGGGCTCCTTACGTTCAGAGGCTGTATCACTGCATTTGCAGCTCCCCCAGAAGTGCTGTAGCTTGGAGGAGCCTATTACTCTGCCTGAAGCTCTTTGGTGTAGACCTGTAAATAGATTCTCATCTTTTCCTCGTAATGCCCAATAGATTCTTGATTCAAAGATCAAAAATGGAGAGATGAGAGTTCAAATCTTCTTGGAACTTACCGACACCCTATAACTCCTTTTAAGAACATGTCCTCCTTAGTAACACTGTCTACATGGCCATCTGGGACTTCACAGCTCAGAAACACCCTGCATCAATGGCTGGCGGTAATGAGGGGAGGACCTACCTGAATTAGCACCTTCCCGTGCAAGCACATACATCCGAACTGCAAGGCCTCTGCTTGCGCAGTTTTCTCCTCTTGCACTGTTCTTCCCATCCTCCTCCTCAGTCCAATTCAAATACCATATCTGCCCCCTCTCTCCCAGGGGAAACCCTTTGAATTACCATTGTATATTATTCTGTGCTTCTTATGATGATTAATCCCATTTACCTGGTATTATATAAACATATTTTGGTCTTTGTGAGCTACCACCGGCTCACAGCAAAGCATTTGGTTGTCTAAAATGATATGTCTTATCCATTCATGGAAGTACAGATAAGGAAAGCAGGCTGGGGACGGTGATTCATGCCTGTAATCCTAACACTTCGGCAGGCTGAGGCGGGCAGATCACGAGGTCAGGAAACCGAGACCATCCTGGCTAACATGGTGAAACCCCGTCTCTACTAAAAATACAAAAAATTAGCCGGGCATGGTGGCACACACCTGTAGTCCCAGCTACTCAGGAGGCTGAGGCAGGAGAATCTTTTGGTATCGGGAGGTAGAAGTGGCAGTGAGCCAAGATGGTGCCGCTGCACTCCAGCCTGGGCGACAGAGCGAGATTCTGTCTCAAAGAAAAGAAGAAAAGCCTTCAAGAACAGTGGCACAGTTTGGTTTTTCTTCATATCATTCCCTTATTTATGGTTGGTTTTCTCAAATGGCGCATGTGGGGCTTAATACCTAGGTAATGGGTTGATAGATGCAGCAAACAACCATGGCACACGTTTACCTATGTAACACACCTGCACGTCCTGCACATGTATACTGAAACTTAAAATAAAATTAAATAAAATTTAACAGAAAAAGAAAAAGAAATTGTTATAAATGTAAAGTAATTAAAAGTATATTATTTAGAAGGGACAACAGATACCACAAAGATGAGCATGTTTCATTCTCAAACGAAATACACAAATAAAACTTACAGAAGTTCCTTCAACGCCAGTGGTGAATACAAAAGGCTGTTGAGGAGGAGGAGCTGAAGTTTTGTTTGGGACTTGAAGAAAAGATGTGTTGTTACAGGCAGAAAACTTACCATGCAGGTAATGCGTTAGGATCAGTGTCAGGCATGAACAAAACATTTTCAGTCAAGGGCAGAGAGTAAATATTTTAGGCTTTCGCGGGGCTGATTACATAATTTGCAAAATGAAATAGTGAGCCCTTGTTCAGAAAGCAATAATTAAGTGCTATTGAAAGTATTTAAAACATAAAGCTCTTTTTCCTATTTCCATGGTATCTCTCCCTCAACTTGTCATGTTGTTTTATATTTGCTGTTCAACGTCATTCCAAGGAAAGACAATTTTAAATTATTAGCATGAATTTTGCCATTCAGCTTTAGACTATGCCATGTCGGTCTTAAATAAGTTCTGAATAAGAAACTCTTATTCGTTTGCAGAATTACGGACATAGGAAACATTTCTCATTTCATAGTTCATACAGTGCGTATATGTTTTGTTCTTACCGAAAGAGTGGAAACACTGCACAGATTAACTCACCTGTTTTTATTTCACTTCTTAATATACACATATTCAACAAACACTCTCCGCTTCCTAATGAGTAAGAAGACTGAAAAGAAACTATGAGTTGCTTTATCTTTTCTTTTCCTTCTTTGACATAATTTTCAGCTTAGGTGGTTGGCCATTCATGGAAGTAACATGAGTAAGAAAGGCTATAATTAGGTTCTTAGTCATTTATGTTTCTTAGAATGCCATTGTTTTCTTTCTGTGTTCAAAGTAATTTTGGTTCCAATGGAAAACATGTTCTTTAAGGACTGTCAGCATCCCAGCTTACTCAGTAGAAGATGTAAGAGACTTTGCAATCACTTTGAGCCTCACTGAGTGTGCATCGTGAGTCTACCAGAGTCTCTTACTCCTGGGGTATTGTGTATAGTATATCCATATGCTTCTGCATCTCTCTTTTGCTTTTGCACATGCTTAATTGTTTCATTAGACTTCACTCAAAAACACAAATTCAAAGATAAAATGATTAAGTGTTTCAAGACAGAGATAGGAGAATGGTAAACCAAGAGCAGGTGGCACAGGGTCCTGTGTGAATGCACTGGCTGCATATCCTTGAAGCATAGCCTGGGCTTTGCAAGCCATATGGTCTCTGTCTCAAGTATTTTGCTGTTGTACTATGAAGCAGCTATAAATGATATGTAAAGAATGGACGTGACTGTGTTCCAATAAAACTTTATTTACAAAATCAGTTGGCAGCCAGAATCTGGTCTGTGGGCCATTGTTTGCTGATCCCTAGTTAGGCAAAAACATGGAGATGACAAAATGTGAGCCCTGTTTGAGAACTGCTTACCCAGTGCGAGGTAAGTCTAGAAATTTCAGAACTCCAATTATGAAGGCATAGATTGGGCTGTTTGAATATTGTCCTCTAGGTGATAAAGTGACTGATAGCTTTAACTACTGAATTAACATGATCAAAGGAGATTTTTAGTGAATTAATATGGAAGTGTCTATTAACAGATCCACTCTTGGCCTCTCAAAGTGCTGTCACAGAGACAGGAACGGGTGGATCTGTTAATAGCTGAACGAGGGAGCTATTGTGAGAGTCCAGCTATGAGACGATAATAACAACTTGGAGTATTAAGGAGGGATTTGCAATGGTGGAAACATTTGATTCAAGAGAAGTTTTAAATGAATTGTCACCAGGTTGTGAAGAAAGATTTGGTATCGGGTCCAAGAGAAGAAAAGATGGGAAACTTCAAGGTCTTGTGCCTGGAAGGCTGTGAAATGGATGGCCATTTATTCTCTGAACCCGTCTTGTGTGTATCTTCTGTTTGCTAAAATAACCATGAACAGAAATGGCTAGTGTGCTGCTGAATTTAGGTGACAGCAGAATTTTGGGCTATTTGAGTTGATGTTGGGTTGCCTAATATACATGATGCTTACAGGGCATTCAAGATGTGTCACTGGCATAAAGAAATGAAGTAAGGGATAGCAGTAAAAGTAGGTAATCCATCTTCACAGAAAGGAGAATTAGACCATTGACAGCAGGTACCATCTCTCAATGGAGAAAGCATAGAGAAAAGAAAGAAAAAGAGACTCTAATACCGTAATCATTTACATACCTTAGTGTAGTCCTTTCTGCTTTTTTATTTTTTGAGATGGAGTCTTGCTCTGTCTCCCAGGCTCCAGTGCAGTGGTGCAATCTCAGCTCACTGCAATCTCTACCTCCCGGGTTCAAGAGATTCTCCTGCCTCAGGCTCCTGAGTAGATGGGACTACAGGCGCGCACCACCTTGCCCAGCTAATTTTTGTATTTTTGGTAGAGATGGGGTTTCACCATATTGGGCAGGTTGGTTTCGATCTCTTGACCTCGTGATCCGCCAACCTTGGCCTCTCAAAGTGCTGGGATTATAGCCGTAAGCCACCATGCCTGTCCTGTCCTTTCGGTTTTTCAAACTAAGTAGATATTTCACTTTCCTGTTCAACCTTGCCTGGAAAGATTGAGAGGTTCATGTTTGGTCACAATATTAGAGTGAAATAAATGAGTGAAATAAGTCATGTTTATAGTGTGGATCCCCCTTCATCTTCAGTTGAGTCAAATGCCAAAGCTATTTGTTCGCTCAGTAATGTTCCACTTAGGAAATGAAACTTTTCTTTTGGCTAAATGAGTATGATATCCTGGTCCTTTTCCAAGAATATACCCTCAGTTTTCCCTTACTTGGCTGATTGACTGTTTCCTTTAAGATGCAGTCTAGGGATGTTGCGGGCAGCATCCTTTGTGATAATGAAAGCCTTATGATGTATTTTTTCCCAGTAACTTAGGATGTTTATTAAGCTTAGCTGTTTATTAAGCTGTTTGTTGGCAAATATTTTGTCTATGTGGAGAAATGTAAATGAGATTTCTTTTCTTTGTATCGTTCTTTTCTGCAAAGGTGCATTGGAAAGACCCTGAGCTTTGGTCCTGTGTTTATGCACAAGGTATAAAAGTTAGTTCTATTCCTAACCTCTCCACAGAGTTGTCTAGACACACAGGGTTATTTGGCCAAATGTTCTGCAATTCAGTTCCACTACTTAACTGTAATTCACCTATACACCAGGAAAAAAACTACTGGAGCTCAGAGGCCTTGACTACTATTAGGCAGAGAAAACCTCCAGCAAACTGAAACAACCACATTTAAAACATTTGCCTCAAAATTTCTGTGGACACCATGACTCTTTAGCTTATGCTCTTAAATTTCTTTCTTTTTTTTTTTTTATTTTGGAGACAGAGTCTTGCTCTGTCACCCATGCTGGAGTGCAGTGGTGCGATCTCAGCTCACTGCCACCCCTGCCTCCCGAGTTCAAGCGATTCTCCTGCCTCAGCCTCCTGAGTAGCTGGAACTACAGGTACGCGCCATCAGGCCTGGCTAATTTTTTGGCACTTTTAGTAGAGATGGGTTTCACTACGTTGCCCAGGCTGGTTACCCTTGAGCTCAGGCAATCTGCTTGCCGTGTCCTCCCAAAGTGCTAGGATTATAGGCATGAGCCACCGTGCCCAGCCTATGCTCTTAAATTTCAACTTCGAAATTATATTGAAATTTTCATTATGGGCAACCCTGAATCTGGAAAAGTCACCTTTAATTTCCCATCACCCTTAAGATTAGGAAGTAAATGCTAAAATTCCCATTTAAGTGTATTTTGCAAGAATGATTTTCACACTATTGAATTATTGGTCTTTGTCTCTCACCCTGTCTAACTCTCTATCAAGACATAGGAAACATGCACCCCTCTGCTCAAGGTGTAAAAAGATGTTTACTTTTTAAAGTTTTAATTAAGGCTTTTGCTGTGTGTGTGTGTGTGTGTGTGTGTGTGTGTGTGTGTGTGTAAGTACTACACACTTTAATTGTTTAGGTGTCATTGTTGTATTTCATTCAGGCAGATACTTGTATTTATTACATTTCCAAATGAGGAAATGCGCTGATTATATAGGAAAGCATGTGTATATCTTACGGTGATAGCCGTTTGGCACGGTTTTTGTTTTGTTAGCTATCAGCATGGTTGCCTTCAACTATGTTTGCTCCACATGGGTGGGCATGTGTTAAGGATACAAAAACCATCAGACCTCTTCATTGGATTACTGAAGGAGACCTTCATTCTATTAAGTTGGTGCAAAAATAAAATGCCATGACTTATAATGGCAAAAACCACAATTTTTTTTTTTTTTTTTTTTTTTTTTTTTTTCTGAGAGGGAGTCTCGCTCTGCCTCCCAGGCTGCAGTGCAGTGACACAATCTCCCAGGTTCAAGCAATTCTCGGGCCTCAGCCTCCCAAGTAGCTGTCGCATGCCACCACGCCTGGCTCATTTTTATATTTTTAGTAGAGATGAAATTTCGCTGTGTTAGCCATTCTGGTCTCGATCTCCTGACCTCATGATCTGCCCGTCTCAGCCTCCCAAAGTGCTGGGATTACAGGTGTGAACCACCACGCCCGGTCCAAAAGCCATAATTATTTTTGCACCAACCTGCTATTGTTCATTGTTTTTGCCTCTTCTGTAATGAAAGGCTTCTAACTGGTTCGCTTACCTTTGATTTCAGCTTTTCGTGTAGCCTTGGTCATATCAAGTATCTGCTGAAAAATTGGCGTGGCCTTTAGTTTCCCAGTCTCATCTCCTGCCACTCACCAGTATGCACTGGAAGTTCCAGCCCACAATATGTCCTATGCTGTCGAGCTTACACACCTTTGTGTATGCTGTTTCCTCTGCTGAGAAAGTCTAGTGAATGTCTACTCATCCTTTAAGACCAGACTTAAATGGCATCTTCCTTACAAACGAGTTGAT